CGACATTGGTGAGACAATATTGAAATAAGGTGATAAAAATTATCACGTTGATGACTTGACTTGAACAAAACGTCTGACTTGACTACAGCAACCCTTCTGACTTGAGTGTAGATAGATGACTTTCAAGAACTTGACGTACTTGGTAAACAGTGGAAGACCACAGACTGTAATATCTCCATTTCTTACATATGTAGCACCAATTCTTCAACCACTTGTGACATCATAAGTAACAGTAATACAATGTAGCAACATCACTTTATTGCCTCCACTTCTGACACCATATGTAACATATGTAAATAAATAAATAAATAAATAAATAAATAAATAAATAAATAAATAAATAAATAAATAAATAAATAAATAAATAAATAAATAAATAAATAAATAAATAAATAAATAAATAAATAAATAAATAAATAAATAAATAAATAAATAAATAAATAAATAATAAATAAATAAATAAATAAATAAATAAATAAATAAATAAATAAATAAATAAATAAATAAATAAATAAATAAATAAATAAATAAATAAATAAATAAATAAATAAATAAATAAATAAATAAATAAATAAATAAATAAATAAATAAATAAATAAATAAATAAATAAATAAATAAATAAATAAATAAATAAATAAATAAATAAATAAATAAATAAATAAATAAATAAATAAATAAATAAATAAATAAATAAATAAATAAATAAATAAATAAATAAATAAATAAATAAATAAATAAATAAATAAATAAATAAATAAATAAATAAATAAATAAATAAATAAATAAATAAATAAATAAATAAATAAATAAATAAATAAATAAATAAATAAATAAATAAATAAATAAATAAATAAATAAATAAATAAATAAATAAATAAATAAATAAATAAATAAATAAATAAATAAATAAATAAATAAATAAATAAATAAATAAATAAATAAATAAATAAATAAATAAATAAATAAATAAATAAATAAATAAATAAATAAATAAATAAATAAATAAATAAATAAATAAATAAATAAATAAATAAATAAATAAATAAATAAATAAATAAATAAATAAATAAATAAATAAATAAATAAATAAATAAATAAATAAATAAATAAATAAATAAATAAATAAATAAATAAATAAATAAATAAATAAATAAATAAATAAATAAATAAATAAATAAATAAATAAATAAATAAATAAATAAATAAATAAATAAATAAATAAATAAATAAATAAATAAATAAATAAATAAATAAATGAATGAATGAATGAATGAATGAATGAATGAATGAATGAATGAATGAATGAATGAATGAATGAATGAATGAATGAATGAATGAATGAATGAATGAATGAATGAATGAATGAATGAATGAATGAATGAATGAATGAATGAATGAATGAATGAATGAATGAATGAATAAATAAATAAATAAATAAATAAATAAATAAATAAATAAATAAATAAATAAATAAATAAATAAATAAATAAATAAATAAATAAATAAATAAATAAATAAATAAATAAATAAATAAATAAATAAATAAATAAATAAATAAATAAATAAATAAATAAATAAATAAATAAATAAATAAATAAATGAATGAATGAATGAATGAATGAATGAATGAATGAATGAATGAATGAATGAATGAATGAATGAATGAATGAATGAATGAATGAATGAATGAATGAATGAATGAATGAATGAATGAATGAATGAATGAATGAATGAATGAATGAATGAATGAATGAATGAATGAATGAATGAATGAATGAATGAATGAATGAATGAATGAATGAATGAATGAATGAATGAATGAATGAATGAATGAATGAATGAATGAATGAATGAATGAATGAATGAATGAATGAATGAATGAATGAATGAATGAATGAATGAATGAATGAATGAATGAATGAATGAATGAATGAATGAATGAATGAATGAATGAATGAATGAATGAATGAATGAATGAATGAATGAATGAATGAATGAATGAATGAATGAATGAATGAATGAATGAATGAATGAATGAATGAATGAATGAATGAATGAATGAATGAATGAATGAATGAATGAATGAATGAATGAATGAATGAATGAATAAATAAATAAATAAATAAATAAATAAATAAATAAATAAATAAATAAATAAATAAATAAATAAATAAATAAATAAATAAATAAATAAATAAATAAATAAATAAATAAATAAATAAATAAATAAATAAATAAATAAATAAATAAATAAATAAATAAATAAATAAATAAATAAATAAATAAATAAATAAATAAATAAATAAATAAATAAATAAATAAATAAATAAATAAATAAATAAATAAATAAATAAATAAATAAATAAATAAATAAATAAATAAATAAATAAATAAATAAATAAATAAATAAATAAATAAATAAATAAATAAATAAATAAATAAATAAATAAATAAATAAATAAATAAATAAATAAATAAATAAATAAATAAATAAATAAATAAATAAATAAATAAATAAATAAATAAATAAATAAATAAATAAATAAATAAATAAATAAATAAATAAATAAATAAATAAATAAATAAATAAATAAATAAATAAATAAATAAATAAATAAATAAATAAATAAATAAATAAATAAATAAATAAATAAATAAATAAATAAATAAATAAATAAATAAATAAATAAATAAATAAATAAATAAATAAATAAATAAATAAATAAATAAATAAATAAATAAATAAATAAATAAATAAATAAATAAATAAATAAATAAATAAATAAATAAATAAATAAATAAATAAATAAATAAATAAATAAATAAATAAATAAATAAATAAATAAATAAATAAATAAATAAATAAATAAATAAATAAATAAATAAATAAATAAATAAATAAATAAATAAATAAATAAATAAATAAATAAATAAATAAATAAATAAATAAATAAATAAATAAATAAATAAATAAATAAATAAATAAATAAATAAATAAATAAATAAATAAATAAATAAATAAATAAATAAATAAATAAATAAATAAATAAATAAATAAATAAATAAATAAATAAATAAATAAATAAATAAATAAATAAATAAATAAATAAATAAATAAATAAATAAATAAATAAATAAATAAATAAATAAATAAATAAATAAATAAATAAATAAATAAATAAATAAATAAATAAATAAATAAATAAATAAATAAATAAATAAATAAATAAATAAATAAATAAATAAATAAATAAATAAATAAATAAATAAATAAATAAATAAATAAATAAATAAATAAATAAATAAATAAATAAATAAATAAATAAATAAATAAATAAATAAATAAATAAATAAATAAATAAATAAATAAATAAATAAATAAATAAATAAATAAATAAATAAATAAATAAATAAATAAATAAATAAATAAATAAATAAATAAATAAATAAATAAATAAATAAATAAATAAATAAATAAATAAATAAATAAATAAATAAATAAATAAATAAATAAATAAATAAATAAATAAATAAATAAATAAATAAATAAATAAATAAATAAATAAATAAATAAATAAATAAATAAATAAATAAATAAATAAATAAATAAATATATATATATAATATGTAAATGTAATACATATATTTATTTATATATATATATATATATATATATATATATATATATATATATATATATATATATATATATATATATATATATATATATATATATATATTATACATCGAGTGTATAGAAGACAAAATGCAGTATGTCCAATTTTTTGTAAAATCGATGTACTTTTATACTTATATAAACAATAATACAAGCTACAAGAATACTTATGTACAATGTTAGAAATGTAGAATGCAAATAATTTATGAATGTTTAAACATAATATTTTAATATTGTACTAAGACTCACTTTTCTCGAGATTTTGATTTTTTGTACCCACTGCATTTATCGTCTATACAAACAAAGTTTGTCAAAAAAAAATACCGTTTTAGTATAAGAGTTCAATAGTATTTGTATAATTCAGCACCCAGCCCTTACCCCCCCCCCCCCACCCTCTTAACCCCACACACACCAAACAAACTCTTAGAAGATTCGTTAAAAAAAGAAAAATCTGGTTCGTTCACATAACGTTTGTAAGGGTTTTCGGTACATAAGGACAAACGCTTTTCTTGATACTTATAAATATAATGGTTCACTGTTTTGTATTTAAAGCAAATTATTTCTTTTTAGTATATTATATGCATAATCTTGTGACCATAACAGTGAATTTAATTTTGAAAAAAATTAAGTCCAATTTTCTGTATACTGACAGGGTAGTTAACTCATTTTCTTTAATGTTTAAATTTTAATGTGGCTATGTCCCTTGCACACTAAAAGAATTAGTTTTTTGATTTAAAAAAAAGATTTATTACTACTTTCTATTGGGTTATTTCTTCATAAGAAATAGTAATTTCAAACATTTTACAACGTTTCAAAAGTTTAGAATATCGATTTAGGATTAAAAAATAATCAGACAATTTTAAAGAAATATATGGACAGTAAATAAAAAGAACTAATGAAAATTTACAAGAAAGAGCTAATAAGACATTGCAAGAGAGAGCTAATGCGTTTTAACGAGAAAGAATAATGACACTTTACTAGAAAGAACTAATTAGAAATAATAATACAGAAAAAAACTGAGCCTTAGGAACAATAATGACTGACACTCTACAATCTACAACAAATAAAAATATTCACATTACAGAAAGTTATGGGATCTCATTTATGGACCTGTAGCTAGTTCTTTTAAGCACACCTTACGAAAGACATTATATATTTAGCAAAAATCTATAGCGGCTGCGCACCAACAACTTAAATCAATAATGTTTCATCGATTTTTAACTATACGTACAAATCGATAATATTGATTCGACACACATAAGTATGTTACGACTACAGCAAGACTGTTGGTTACCGTTTGCTTTCAATGCACTGGATGAATGAGTTTGATTTGGTGTGGATTATTATAGCAGGCAAAATCTGCTTCTATAGGTTTATATAGGTTTGGGTAAGTTTTTCAGTTTAAAACAATGAAATATTAAATGTAAACAATGCAGGTTAATACAAAAAAAAACCCAATGAGATTTAGTATTTTAAATTAAAAGTAATGTTTAGTCTACTAACGTTTAAAGGGATTTTCATATTCATAACTCTAAGGTAATGCATTTTCATGTTTAGAGTTCTTCAGTTAACCCTTTCCGATATTGTGATTGGCGGTGTAGATGAAGCAAAATTTAACTAGTTTTGTGACCTTAATGTGTGAAGGGATAATGTGGTCAGCACTATGTTGTGTATCAAACACAAGAGCGTGGACTTAGGGGCGTTCTTAAGATAAAAAATACGATATTATCTTAATTAACGAATTAGCAGTGGCTCAATTGTCCTACCACGCCGTTCTAATATCATAATCTTGTTCTCAATTTTTTTTTCTTGTATACAGCGTAGGCCCTATATAGAAAGTATTTTAGTTGTGGAGAAAAATTAAATGAAATTATAATAGTTTATTATAATTACGCACTAAAAGGAATAAAATAAATGATTTACTTTAAAATTTGATAACGAACAACCATAAAATAACAAAAAAGAAAAGCTTTTAAAATTTAAGTATTTCAATAAAGGTATTCAATACAAAATATAGTGACCAGTGCTTTTTATTTTAGTTATTTTAAAAAAAAATGTTTTATTATTATATTTCAAGAAACTAGTTTACTTTATTTATTTTAGTGAATAATTTATAAAAGCGTGTTATTTAAGCGCTTTAAAAAAAAATTAAATTGTTTTAAACGTTTTCAAACTTTTAATACAACAGAATTGCTTGACTAAATAGAATGGTGCATTAAATTTTAAAAAATCGTGCTATATACATGGCTGAAATTAATACTTTAATGAATTTTTAAAAAATAATTATGCAGCCAATTATGTAATTTTTGATGTTATAGTGCATCGTCATCTTGACTTGACCCATGTGCCAGGTTTCAGAGAAATTGGTTGGTTAAAAGTGGTCGAAATTTCGTTCGCCCTTTTCGACCCATGAAGAAGAAAAAAGACAAAATTACGAACGAGAAAGCAAGTTAATTAAAAGCATGTGATAAAAGATTTTAAATACAACATCCATGTTTTATTCGCCAATTAAAAATCAAAACAGATATTATTTCTTTTTCTCTGCTATGCTAAAGCTTCGGCAAACTGTATCTATAATTAGGTGCTGTTTGAAATGGCAGGGGCATCGGAGAATGAAAGCCAGACTATAGAACAGGGTGAAAGGATCTACGAAAGTACGGGTAAGTGTAATCAATTCAAGATTCGATCGTTTTTTTATATTGTGCTACACCAGGGTCTCCAAACTTTTCAGCCCGAGGGCCGCGTTAACTATCAAATAGCAGTTCTGGGACCGACAACACACTCGATGTCTATAACAGCGGGAGAGATCTCCCGTAAACTTTCTCGAATATTCACTATTGCACTGTTGACTTTAGATTTAGGGCTTCTAAAACATAGACTTAATTATGGGCTGACTACATTTAGCCAGGAATATGGCTTTTGTAGAGATTAGGATGGCAGTTCAATTGATACATTCGTTATAAGTTTTGGTGTGTTAAAATATATTCATAATGTATGTGATTTCGAAAAGTCATGTGATTTATTCCTATTTCAAGAGTAAATGTATTACGAAATGACATCTGATCAATACAGATATTAAATTACATTTTTATTTGCGTGAGAACATGTTCATTTTTAATTTAAATATTGTACTTAAACTCATATGAAGCATTTAACTAAATACATATCTTTTATGATGTATATTCACCAGAACTGAACGAGTTCGAATTTTACGCTGACGAGTTCCATCAACTAGCAAGCATCAAACATTGCACCAAATATCCCGGCCACGTCGACTTCATACCCGTGGAGGACTTCAATCTCCAACACTTGCCAGGACATTTACAGGACCCGGACATTGTCCAGTTAATCAAGTGCTTGTCCAACTTGACCGTCATGGTCAGAGCGAAATCGGTCAGTCCCGAAAGACCGGAATTTTATCCGGATACGGATCTCCCGTATCCGTTACACGTCAAACCCGGAAGAAAAATGAACCGGCAGTTGAGAACCGGCACGGCGAGGGTGAGTCACCCTTTGTGGAAATACGTGGAGGAGGATGATGTTCCTTGTCCGTGTGCGGCGTGCAAGGTGTCTTCAACACCGGTGAAGACGTGGTGTCAGATACCTTTCGTCACAGCCACGCATGTCATCTTCGATTCTCATGAGTTGAAGGACACACAGGTAGTAATCGATTACAACTCGGCGCGGAGTAATAAAATCGTCCTTGACGTGTTCGATGATGGAGGGTTCAGCGTGTTCACCGATCGCGCGGATATCATCTGTTCAACTCACGATGTATCGTTATACGACCGGTTACAAGCACAGAAAAAAGAATACGAAAATTTGCGTCAGAAACTGGCGAAGAAATACAACGAAAAAGACAAATCCACCAGCTTGGCTATTATGGTGTCGCATCCCCATGGCAACGCAAAACACGTGACCGTGGGGCAGTGGACGAACAGGTGCCAGGCAGGGCGCCACGGTGACGTCGGGTACACGTACAACACGCCCTCGTGCACGGGCTCCAGCGGCGCCCCCGTCTACATCCTGGGCGAGGTCAACTGGCTGAGGAACCAGGTCCACAGCGGGGTCAGGTCTGATGGGAACTTCGCAGGGGTCAAGTTTTTCACCTGGGACGGTGAGGGGATGAGTCAGCTGTTTCTGTACTCCTAACTCTTTACATGTCATATCATCATTAACATCCTTTCCATGAGGCCAAGACACATGGGGCAGATAAAGCAGAGTTTATCTTTTTCAGTGACTTCGGTATATGAAGGGATAGCCAAGCCGACTTTACTTTCCCTTTAACTAACAGAGCTGGGTGGATTCAGGGACGTTTTACTGACTTTAACCCCGGATTAGAATTCGAGACTTTCGGGTTAGAAGTCCAGCGCTCTACCGGTTGGCCACGCTGTACCTGATACAAGTGATACATCCTCCCAAAAAAAAATAACATTCACCAGTACTGCCTACATGGGCATTAAATTAAACTTGTCCTTTTTCTGTATTGTGTATTGCAAAATTTGTAAAGCTACTCGTCATTTTGTAGAAATTGGTCTTTGGGCTTGGATAACATATACAGGAAGAGGGCCAAGTAAGGCGTTGTCGAATGATGGACCGTTCGTCTTCTAACATGAAAGTATCGAGTTCAGTTCGTTGGCTAGAGTTGTAGAACGTCTCTGAGTCCACCCAACTATATGGTGCCTGACTTGAGTTAGGGAAAGTAAAGAATGTGAAAATATTGCTGGCCACACTATCCCAAGGTTCCTTCATATTCCCGTGGGCCTCCCGGTCCGAAAGGGATCTTTATTTTTATTTCCGCTTGGATTGGACAATGCCTGTCCGCCACTAAACACACACACACACACACACACAGACACAAAGAAAAAAAATCATCATTTAAAATTAAAAACAAACACATAGACTTTTAAACAAAACATGTTTATTAAAAGTGACTATACTTATGTTATTTGAAAAAATATTCTCAAATGAATATCTTAAATAACACGATTGCCGTCTTTAAATTTCAGTGCATACATGTTATGTAAAGAAAAATATTTTCACTACATAAAGAGTGTATTATTCTATAAATAATGCATATTTTCTGATATCTATTTTCGGACGAATAAATAAATCAATAAATATGCATAAATATAAATATTCAAACCTTAAAATCCCAGGTGAGGTGTAGTATAGATACAAAATTTGATTAAGCAATTTATTTACACTTTTAAGGAAACATTTTTAATGCATTCTAATTAAAGCTTGGCATTGAACCTCCACTTGACTCAAAATTGTTTAAGTATAATGTAGAGATTTGGAACGTCTTCGTCAAAACTATTTTAGCTTGAAACAGCTATTTATCTACTAATATTTAAAAGTAGAAAGAAAAGAAAAATATTATTGAGATTGGAAATACTGGGTGGAGTTGTCGCAAGAAAATATTCCACTTTAGACCTAACGATCCATTGGGCAGATGAAGTGGAGTTCACATTTTTCTTGACCTCGGCATATAACGGATAATATATAAAGTTAGTAGGCCCCCAGAAAAAACCCTACATCTTAATTATCACGTTTTATTTATTTAATTGTGTATATGCAAGTTAGGGTACTTAGGAAATATTTGCAAGCATTGGATTTCTTGTTTTTCTATTTTTGTTTATGTAGTGCACTTTTTATAAAATGTACTTTTAATGTACTCTTTATAACGAAGGATTTTACAAAATGAAGTGTGATGCGAATACTCTCTGCACTTTAATTTCATACGAATGCAAATAAATACAAATTATAAATACTGTGTATTGTTTTCTCTTATTAATTATGAAGCATGTATAAAGAATAATGATTAAATAGTTTTAATGTGATTGAAATTTGCATCAATATCATTAGAAACCAAGCAACTTGCAGCTAATTTAGACATAGCCTAAAATGTAAAAATAAATTCATGGAAATGTGTATAGTTTTTTTTTGCCTAGGTTTCGATTCCGGCACTTAGTGGTGAAGAAATGTTGAAGATGTTCATAACATTCTGAAACATCGCTTCCACGGATTGGTTGTTACTTGTCAGGTCAGGCAGGTGAAGTGATGACGTGGGTCGCCGCGTCGTGTTACCGTTTGCGATGGCGCAGTTTAGTCGTTCCTCGTTTATGTCAACCTGAAAAGGGTTAACACGAGTTATTTAAGGTTCAGGCGGATTTATTATACCGACTGACCCCACAATACATACCATATATACATATATATATTACATTATATATATATATATATATATATATATATATATATATATATATATATACATACATATATATATATATACATATATATATATATATATAATATATATATATATATATATATATATATATATATATATATATATATATATATATATTTTTTTTTTTTTATATATATATATATATATATATATATACATATATATATATATATATAAATTGGGGGGATATTTTTTGCCGGTAGGGTGGGGAGGGTTTTTTTATAGGTGGATGTAGGAGGGAATCTGGATTTTTGTGATAAAGTATGACGATATTAAAAAGATATATAAAAACTATAAGAAAAAGCATGATGTTAATTAAGGATGACCTGTACCAAGCAGAGTTATGTCACACACACTATTGGAAGGCTAGATATATTCAGTGCAGGATTTGTGTACGACTGACCTGATCCATTCTAAATTTATTTCAAGTCAGTATATCAGATAAAGTAGAGTTTATCTGAATTCTTGAATGTGGAAAAACGGTGATTACAACTTAAGTCAAGTACCTTGTCAAACCGGACCGTCTACGGGGCGAGTAAAGTAGAGTTCACTTGTTTCTGTGACCTCGGCATATGAAGGGATAGTGTGATCAGCACTATGCCAGCCGCCTTTACTTTCCTTTACTTCGAACTCTAATTAAGTTATTATCTTTTCAGAAACCGAAAACAGATAAGTACCTGTTCCTTTTACCAGAAATCGTTCAAAAGTTGATACTCATTTTATATATACGTATAATTAAAATTCAGTCAACACAACTGAAACGGTACTTACATTATCGTGTTTAGAGACATATAGACATACAAACAAAAGTGCAAAACTATGTTTTTTTCCGACTGAGGTAGGTGTAAAACTTCAAAATTTGTGAAAATCTCGATTTAGATTTTTTAGCACGATTACAATACCTTACCGAGGTGAGGGTCCAACTGTTAGTACCTCACCCCAGTCTGGGAGAGCCTATGTGTTAGGGTATAGTGCCACACAAAGTCTAGAACATATCTAGGCCAAGAGTGAACTCTTTTTCATCTCCCTATAGACCGCCTCACATTTAACACTGCAATTTTATTTCACAAACTAAACCTAGACATCAACTTTACAAAGCTTGAACATAAATATTGACACCATCTTTAAAAAGTGTGAACACAAATATGGACATTGCCTTTAAAAAAAATTGAACTTAATATAAACATCACCTTTAAAAGCCATAAACAAAAATACAGACATCACCATTAAAGATATGAACACACATAGATTTCACATTTAAAAATGTGTACACAAATATAGCTTTCACCTTTAAAAATGTGAGTATTTCTCTCAACTTGACACCGGTCTGCTGGACAAGATCCTTATTCATAACGACCAGTAGAGGTCTCCTGTACGTCCGCCAAGTTTTATGGAATCGAACCCAGTCCAACTGGCGCATAGAGTAATACGATGGCCAGTCTGCAAGGAATCATAACACGTTAGTCGGGATTTTAAATATAATGTGGTGGAGTGATCGTTGACATTAATCCTAAACGTAAATCTAGTAGCCTGCAATCAGCCATATTGAAAGAGAACGCGGCAATAAGTTTTAACGAACTATAAACGTTTATATGGGACAGTGTGGGCATAAATGGTAGAGTGCTAGGCATATTCCCCGAAAGTCTCAAGTTTAAATCCGGTTCAAGTCAGTAGAACGTCCCTAAGTCCACCCATCTTTGATTTGTACCAAAATCGTTAGGGAAAGTCAAGGCGGATGGGCAAAGTGCTGACCACACTTTCCCTTCATATCCCGATTTTCAAAAGAGTTATGAACTGCTTCATCTGCCCAATTGTAATATAGGCCTAACGATCTAATTGTTATCTAGGTATAAGGAAAATCCTTTATTTTACTTCCTTTTATAAGAGCCGTAAAATTAAATAAAAATGTATTTTTTGAAACTAAATAACTCTAACTTGGATCCTGGTAGGATATATTGAAATACAACCAATGATTTCAGCTACAATTTAGCTGTCCTTTCACCTACTTTTCTCAATTGAATCCTTTGTAGTATTAAATTTTCTTCCACCACCGTTTTGTCGGTTAAACTCGGCTTTGATAGCTTCGTAAGGATGGCGGATGAGCAGCACAGCTTTTTCGTATCTTTGAAGTGTAACGGGGTTATACCGGTGAGTTTTGACGAGGATTGTCGATTCATTAACCACACCTTCGCCAAGAAATCCTTTCGATGCTAGATTTCCGTTGTTGTATTCACTCCCTGTTAAGACACCTTTTAGAGAGAGAGAGAATGTGTGAGAGAGAGTGTTTGTGTGGGACAGAGAGAGATTGGGAGAGAAAGTGTGTGACAGATAGAGATTGAGAGATAAAGAGAGTGTGTGTCTGTGTGTGTAAGAGAGATAGAGAGATTGAGTTAGAGAGAGAGAGAAATAGATGAGTTTTTGAATGAAGCTAAACGCTAAAAAAGTTTGATTAAAATGTTGAATAATCACGAAAGTCAATATTTACGAGTTACCAGCTCCTCTCGTGATGTCGTCGATAGATAGGGATGGCTGGAGATGGTTGGAGATGGGTGGAGATGGGTGGAGATGGGTGAAGTTGGGTGGAGATGGGTGGAGATGGGTGGAGATGGGTGGCTGACTTAGGAAAATCAAATCCCTCCTGGACGTCCAAAAAGAGGATCCGAGGGTGGGGGGGGGGGGGGGGGTAGAACAGCGCATTTTTTTTCTGCACAGATCTGTCTAGAGCTCAGAATGGGTTTATAGTGTTTGGTAGACGGTTACTTTTAAGGCTTCAAGTGGTTTGTTGAGGTTTATATTTAGGGTTTAGAACAGTGCATCCTTTAGACATTTCTTCTTTTCTTTTCGGGAGTGCACTCGGAACTTTAGGGGGAGAAGAGTATTTACTTTTTCGAGGCGCTAACCCTGGACATAGACCTAGACCTAGCCCAAACTCAAACCCTAGCTCTAACCCTAGCTGAACCTTAAGCTATGACCGGGGGGGGGGGTAGCGTCCTACTGGGCGGGGGTAATTGACAGGGGGGGGGGGTAATTACTCCGTGGGGTAATGACGGGGTGTAATGCCCTGTTCCCATATATATATATATATATATATATATATATATATATATATATATATATATATATATATATACCTAGGCCTAATTAGTGAATGGCGATGTGACTTATTTGTTTGAGGCACCAGGGAGCAGCTGCAGCTCTCCATCGGATTTAGTTTTTCGGGGACTCTTTATTTGAGCCTACTTGACCCAACAACCTTTGTTTCGCCTACGTGCGAGATTTATGTTAAAGTGCTTTGAATACATTCTGCGAGTTGACACGTATACTTAATTGTGTTGGATGGGATCCCTTCCAACACTAAAAAATTAAGAACGAAGAAGAAGAAGAAAGAAGATTCAGATTTTAAGCAAGGGGGGGGGGTGTTCCGTTTTACCTGTAGCCTCTTGAATTAGAAACCTGAGCCAGGTGTTTCCGGAGCCTGGGAAACTCACAAGTGTTGAGAGAGGAAAATTCTTCGCTGACAGACTCACGGGTCCGCATGACTTCACAGCTTTCTTAGAACGTTCCACAGTCGGGGATATTGATTCTTTCTAGGCGGCATTTAGATATGTCGATGATGTAGAAATGTAGAAGATAAAAAAAAAACTAACATTCTTTATACTTTTTTCCGCCCAAGTACTTTTTTTGTACCGAGAACATTTTGTTTCAACTGCCTTGTGTGTGTTTTATGCAGTGATACATTTTATTTTTTGTAAAAAAAAAGATACAGTTAATTCGTATCCCATTTAAAAAAAAAAACAACAAAAAACTGAAAATTGGATAAAACATCTGTTTTAATTTTTTTTTAAATTCCTATGGTGTTTGGAGTATAATTTTTTTTTTTCATCACTTAATTTTAGTATTTTTGTATGCTTTTATGCATGTATGATAAATGATTTTATAATATATATTTATATATTAATACTTCTGAATTATATATTTTATTTGTTTATGCACGTTTTATGTAAAGATAGAAAAAAATCCATTTTAGAACCATGTAGTTTAAGAATTAAATCGAATTTATATTTATGAAATAAATATACTATAAAAATTAAAACACTTGTAATTATAAACAACAATAAAGAACGTTTAATTATAATAGACATTTACTGAATGTGATGATCATGACAACATCATTACGAAAACAATTACAATACTAACTTAAACAAAAAACAATTTAAACTAAATTATACTTATAAGAACTTACGTGCATTAGCTCGACATAGGCAAGACCAACTAACACTGCAGCTATGAAAACTGATACGGCGAGAGATTTCTTAAATGGGACGTATTTACCCGCAGCATTTCTACATAGCTTTAGATGCTGTATTACCTGCATCAAGGATAGCTAGATTGTCAAAAACTAATTCATTCATAAAATAAATTTTAAGTAATTTTTACTTTAAATTACATACATTATTTCTATAATTGTCTGTCTATATAAATATGTATGTATGTCTAAGAAATATTTTGTAATAAAATAGTAATGGAAGAAAAATTACTCTACATCACGAAGTAAAAAAACAAAGAATAACTCTTGACGCCTTACTTTACGCATTTTTACAAGAGACACTATCTTTTCTTGTACTACCTACACTATTCTCCTAGACTGTCAAGAGACTAAATAGAAACACACAAATGTTCACTCAATTTTTTGATCAAGTTAACAACTAATTGTTAAGATGCTATCTGGTGGCAACTATATGTTGATGTGTTGACAAGTCGATAGATATGTCAATCTCTTAGAAAGTCTAAGCTAAACGTCACGACTTTGTGAACTCCATGTTTGAGACCGTTTTTCGTCACCTGACAAAACTGCCCCAACCTCAAGGTAACATTTTAAAATCTGTCCGGACGTTCCATTGCGGAAGGGGAGTAATCCAGGCTCTATGCGTTCTATTTCTTATCCATCCCCATCTTTAGGTAGTTTCTCTTATTTGCTTGACCTGCACCCCCTTGTTTATAACGTCTTACTTTTAAGTAGTTAACCTAAATTCACTCGACTCCGGCACACATTTTTATTATCGCCCAATTACAATACATCTATCTATCTATATATATAATTCTCCTCTTCGAGCCGTTAGAAAACAAGCTGCAAACGCTCTCCCTACCTCCCCACCCCTACATGGTTTTAGTGAGCTGTGTTCACTCTAAATGTTTACAAGCAGAGCCAACGATTTTAAACGTAGGGGGGGGGGGGAGGGGGGGGGAAGGAAGGGGGGGGGGGGTTATGGTCCTTAACGAGCTACTTATAGTGTTTTCAAGAAATATTTTCAGTGTCAGCGTTGGTACTGTCGAATTCACAAATTATGAATTATTGAAAATTAGAAACAACTAAATAGCGGCGTATGTTATGCCGCGGGCCGGCTCGTATATATATAATTCTCTTCTGGGAGACCTTAGAAAACAAGCTGCAAGCGCGCCTTACAGTCCCCTCTCTTCCTCTCTATCGCTACCACCCTACTAAATAGCGGCGTATGATACGCAGCGGGTCGGCTCGTATATATATAATTCTTTTCACGGGGACGTAGAAGACACCACACAGCTGATCCACCACCCTGATCCCCACCTGTCAGGTGAACTGTGGTTCACCCCGAATGTTTACAATAGTAGAGCCGGTTCGGTTCGAATAAGTGACGGTTATTAGGGGCAGATAATTTAGTTTCTAAACAATTAGAAACTAAGGGGAGATAACAAGTTCAGCCTGATAATTTCATTGTCATCTGTAAACGGCTGTTTTCACTGGGCGGGATGGGGTGGGGTGGGGGGATCGAGGGTGTGTGGCAGGGCGGTGGGGTATTGTCGAATTCACAAATTATGAATTGTTGATAAGTAGAAAATAAAACAACTAGATAGCGTCGTATGCTACGTCGCGGGTCAGCTCGTTCTTTATATTCCGTATACGATACTGCAGGGAGGTGAAAAATGACGAAAACTGTCAACATAAATTTTATTATTCAACAAGATTACAATAATCCCTTTATACTCTGTATTCGAGAAACTAAACATCTAAAATTTGTATTAAAGTATCAGCTTTTTAAATGAACGATTTGTTAAACTACTTATCAATTTCATCAACATGTATTTCATTAAACCAACAAGCAATACTAATGTAACCAATTTTTAACCCACTCTACATACAGTCTATAAAACTCTAACGTTTTATTTCATGATACAGATCGCTATCAATAAATCAATACAAAATATCAATAAATGACAAGAATGTATAGTTCTGGGCACATTATTTTAGTTTGTTGACGATTTTAGATTTAAATAAAGCAATAAATGTCTAGCGTGCATCAAGATTTACGTTAAAGGATTTATGTGAGTTGATGAACAGTGTTAAAGGTAATTTACACACCTCGCCGCATAAGGTCAGGCTTTGTTTTTCTGTTCTACTTTCTCGACATAATTTACGAAATATAAGAAAAGTATTGTTGTTGTGAACAATTAAAATCGATATGTAGACGTTTTACACATTCCTGAATTTGGTGTCACCCCTAACCTAGCTTTTTGTTGTATGGCGTCGATTTCGTGCAAACATTATATTAATCCTCCTACAAAAAAGCATTTAGGGGCTTATATAAGTCAAACAGTTATTAATTCAAGTGGAAAAATCATTGTTTTAGTAGGAAATCATAAAATTAACTGTCGACCAAGACGTGGATTGACGTGTATTAGAATTCTCAACCTTTTTCCTCAGGCTAATTATGCAACGTTTATTTCGTGTACACCCCCCCCCCCAACACGGGCATAGCTTTATGCTGTGCACAGATTCAGTGGCGTAGCGAGGTCGGGTGTCACCCCCCCAGAGGCGTAGCGACCCCTCCCGGGGACAAACTTTCCGATTTTCGATTTGCAATCCCAACACTTCAAACTTTCCATTTGCACCCCCCCTCAAACTTTCCATTTGCACCCCCGCCTCAAACTTGTCTCTATATATTTTGCTATTTTTTGCCTTGGTGTTACCCTCCTAAATGGTAGTCTTTTACATTCGTTTATCTATAGTGTTAATTATAATATGGCTGTCTTGTTGTTAACTGTTTAAACGGAAGAATCAATATAGTTTAATACAGTAAAGTAACCGCTAACTTTTGCTTGAGAATAAAATACTTAAAAAAAACTTTTTAAAAAACCACGTTTTTCTTGTGGACTAAAAAGTAGAAAATAAATTTTCATACATTTGATGACAAAAAACGTGGGTACGTTCACCATCAAATTTCCCGACCCATCTGCCCGACCCACGTTTTTTGTCATCAAATGTATGAAAATTTATTTTCTACTTTTTAGTCCACAAGAAAAACGTGGTTTTTTAAAAAGTTTTTTTTAAGTATTTTATTTTCTCCTTTTTAGTCCGTTGCTACACATGAAAAACGTGGTTTTTAAAAAGTTTTTATATAGTTTATTTTCTACTTTATCTAATCACTTGATTAAGTATGACTTGACTAAGTGTTTTTAAATACACGGACTAAAAAATCTTGAGCGACCGATACGCTTTAAACAGAGAAAGGGTGTAATTTACGTTGCTGGCGTGGAGATCTACTCACGAATCACGTGATCAAATCTCCCATAAACAAACAAATAAACGCGAAGCTGAGTTAAGGAAAAACGTGTTTATGTGTATTTTAGCATGCCCAGCGTACCAACCGTGTCACCGTTAACAATGTGTTATCGTGTCCGTTCTCCTTTTTAGTCCGTTGCTACACATAAAAAACGTGGTTTTTTAAAAAGTTTTTTTTAAGTATTTTATTTTCTCCTTTTTAGTCCGTTGCTACACATGAAAAACGTGGTTTTTAAAAAAGTGTTTATAAATACACGGACTAAAAATCTTGAGCGACCAGGATTCGAACCTGGGTTGTCGCGGACACAACGCGAAGTACTAACCACTATACGATCACGGCCAGCGCGCTCACATCGATTGGGGCCGAAGTAACTGTGTCAATAGGCCTCAAGTCTTGTCGGTATCTTTAGAAATCATGTCCTCAATTTTATGGTCCTTGGGGCGTAATTAAATTAAGCTAATTACGGTCACTAATTGCTAGTTTTTATGATTGCATCTGAAATTGTTAGGCGAAAGTAGCATGCATGCCAAATTTCAGGTCTCTAGAGCAATCAGAAGTGGGCTAATTTTCGATGTCAATTTTAACAACAAACATCCAAACAACCAAACAACCAAACAAACGCGAAGCTGAGTTAAAAAAAAACTTTTTAAAAAACCACGTTTTTCTTGTGGACTAAAAAGTAGAAAATAAATTTTCATACATTTGATGACAAAAAACGTGGGTACGTTCACCATCAAATTTCCCGACCCTTCTGCCCGACCCACGTTTTTTGTCATCAAATGTATGAAAATTTATTTTCTACTTTTTAGTCCACAAGAAAAACGTGGTTTTTTAAAAAGTTTTTTTTAAGTATTTTATTTTCTCCTTTTTAGTCCGTTGCTACACATGAAAAACGTGGTTTTTAAAAAAGTTTTTTATATAGTTTATTTTTTACTTTATCTAATGACTTGATTAAGTATGACTTGACTAAGTGTTTATAAATACACGGACTAAAAATCTTGAGCGACCAGGATTCGAACCTGGGTTGTCGCGGCCACAACGCGAAGTACTAACCGCTATACGATCAGGGCCAGCGCGCTCATATCGATTGGGGCCGAAGTAACTGTGTCAATAGGCCTCCAGTCTTGTCGGTATCTTTAGAAATCATGTCCTCAATTTTATGGTCCTTGGGGCGTAATTAAATTAAGCTAATTACGGTCTCTAATTGCTAGTTTTTATGATTGCATCTGAAATTGTTAGGCGAAAGTAGCCTACATGCCAAATTTCAGATCTCTAGAGCAAGCAGAAGTGGGCTAATTTTCGATGTCAATTTTAACAACAAACATCCAAACAAACAAACAAACGCGAAGCTGAGTTAAGAAAAACGTGTTAAAAATGAGACGTTAAATGTTCATAACATTAAAATTTAATTGAAGAAATAAACACTTCACTCGGCAACTAAAAGTTTTGAAGGATGGATTTATTAACACGTGTACACGTTTTGAATGTTTAAATTGTTTCTGCAAAAATTGACCATGACGTCAAAGTCCACGCAAACACTAACCGTCCACTAACCATCCAGATGGCCTAACGCGGCTATAGTGGATGTTGCACTGACCCTCAACTTGATTGTCCTGGTCCAGATCCTCTCTGTTCTTGGTGTTGTCTGCCTTCTCGACTTCTAAAACCACGGGTACGGTGATAGCGTCAGCATCAAGCAATAGAAATTTGACTTGCGTTACTTGAGTTACTTGAGTTACTTGAGTTACTTGAGTTACTTGAGTTACTTGAGTTACTTGAGTTACTTGAGTTACTTGAGTTACTTGAGTTACTTGAGTTACTTGAGTTACTTGAGTTACTTGAGTTACTTGACTTATTCGACTTACTCGACTTACTCGACTTACTTGACGTACTTGAAATACTTGACTTACTTGACTTACTTGACTTACTTGACTTATTTGACTTACTTGACTTACTAATTAACTTACTTGACTTATTCCTTTGTGGCCCTTGAGGAACAAAATGGCTACAACAACACTTATCTATCAGAAACTGTTTTGAGCGACTGTCTTTATTCAAGCAATGCAATAACTTAAATAATCTCATCATTTGACGCGGATGCAATGTCGTACGAATTCAGATTTAGTAAAAAAAAAATCTTTATTTATAATTTATATATATGTACTTTTATGAACTTTTTATAACAAAAGAGTTAGCAAAATACAGCTTTTGTTTCTTACTCTCGAAACTTTAAATTTATACACGTGCTAATAAACACAAATCGTAAATACCTTGCGATATTTCCTCTTGTTATTTTTATTGTGTACACACAAAAAAGTGAAAACGTTATTTAAAAATGTAATTGTTATTAGCACAAGGCTCATCTAGAACAGCATACATTTAACAACTTGCAGCTACCTGGGATGTAGCCTAAAATGTATTTTTATCGAAGTGTTTTTTTTATTTGCTGCATAGATTTAGATTGCGGCACTTCGTTGTGAAGAAATGTTGTAGATGTTCAAAACGTGCTGAAAAACCGCTTCAGCTGATTGGTTATTGTGTATCACGTGAGGCAGATGAAGTGGTGACGTCGGTCGCCTCGTCACGTTACCGTTTGCGATGGCGCAGTTTAGTCGTTCCTCATCTATGTCCACCTGTGAACAATGTAAACGAGAGCCGTTACCTTCAGAGATGGAACATACAAATATATATATATATATATATATATATATATATATATATATATATATATATATATATATATATATAACGTTTAGTAAGCAGCTTATACACTGCATTGTCCAGGTTTAGGAAACATATTACTTTCCGAATTAACGCTAACCACAATCAAACGAAAACAAAACACTAAAACAAAAATAAAAATAAAAAGTAAAACAATCCAAACGCAAACACAAAAGCAAAAGGAAACCTAATCCCAAACAATTACGCAGAATGTAAACACAAACTTAAATGCAAACATAAACGCATAGTGCTGACAGTATAGCCGGGGGCTTCTGATTGCAACTTGCCGGGGTTCCGGCGGAACCGCCTGATTATACTTAGTAAACGACTAGAATAACCCATCTTAACCATATTCTATTGAACTCACTAAACTAAATGTAGGCACCATAGCACTCACAGAAAGGCCCGGGGTGACTATTAGCACCCTATCAGGGCGCCGGAGGACGACTAAGATACAATTTAGTGAACGAGTAGTTACCCTTTTTGTTCACTGCTTATCGCACTCATTCAAACAAACATATGCACCAAATCGCTCACAGGATAGCCCGGGGCGCAAATTGCACCTTGCCGGTGGGTAGGGCTGACACGCCCTATTCAGATTAGTGAACGACTATAATACTCCATCTTTTCTGCAAACGAAAAGATAAAAGTGAACATAGAGGACATTTAGGACCGGCTTCTAAACGTTTTTTTTTTTTATTAAACTTAATAATTATTAAACAGTATAATCAGTGTATAAAATAAATAAAAGGTGGTATTTAAAATATCCGTGTTTCACCTACCACATTGCCTAATCCACGCTAATTATATAATTGTGTTTTTTTCCATCATCAAAACAATCTAATAAAAAAGTATTTTTCCACCGATGGGTCTAAGGAAAGTAATTGTTTCGGTGATCTAACAAGGAGAGTTATTCAGCCTAAGGGTCTAACGGAAGTTATTTTTATAAACAGCTAGAAACTGAACGATATTTGAGGGTAATGCAGCATACCGCTAACTATCTATACTAGTTCAAGTAACACCCCTTGTTGCTTCTGCATATACAAAGCAATAGACGCAACACCACAAGCATTGCAACAATATAACTTTTATTGCACACCAAGCCGTTATGCAACCGCAATTACTCCCCCTTCTTTATCACGAAAAATATGTAATGCAGGAGGAAAAGGTAAGGAGCTAAGTCCACTCCCTACTTTTGTTCTCTATTTTGCAGTTAAGGCATCCACGCATACTAAATTTGAATTTGTTGATGCATTAAATTATTGAGAAATATTCATATGGAATCTACTCTGTCTTTATTCTAGCTGTTTTGTTCCCCAAACGGGAAACCATCGAGTAATTGCTGAGCTAGGCAGGAAGCCAGGACTGTTTCCCCTTACTTACACCTATGCCATAATTCCTTATTTTTCCAACTTATGCACCTTTTTTGCGCCGAATGTACTTTTTATAATAACTTTGACAAGTAGAGCCTACTCTGCTAATTGTAAATAAAGAACAAAAGCGCTTTCATATCCGCTTTGATCCTTTAAAGTATCAATCTTATATCCACATTTTTTATAAATCTAAAGAAAAACAAGCAAACATGGAACCATGCACCAGAGCTGTCTTCTTTATTTTAGTTTCTCCCCCTTCCCTCCGGTTCTATTATACCATTTATCGCATTCTCTATGTATCTATATGTTTCATATAAAGCCTAAACGTTAATTTTTGTAAGTGTTAATGTTGATTTTCAAAATAAAACGTAAAAAAAGAAAGAAAAAAGGACTGTGGTAAGTAATAGCTGTAAATGAGTAATGTGACGGATACTTATCCTTTTGAAAGAAATAAAGCTGTACCTTATAATTACTGTCCCGCCTTTCTAAAATAATGCTATATTTCAGGAAAATCTAAACCCCTACCTGAGCCAGACCAACATTGTACACTTTAACAATATGAGCATAAATTATAGACTTCACCTTTAAAAACCATAAACACAAAATATAGACACCTATCTTTATACTACTAAAACTCATGTTTGTTTACGTATTTGAATTTTTTTTTTTGTTTGTTTGTCTGTTTGGTTACAGGAGAGAATATGCACTATGTATAGAGTTGTACAATACGTAATTAGGTAGAGAATAATTTTCTTTTTCAACCAAACTGTTAATAACAAATTAATTTAAAGACGTTAATTAATTTATTGCTATATTTGTTAGTAGATTAAACACATTAATTATAAAAGTTCAGAAAAATGACTTTACTTATAGCAACGTCACTTGCTCAATTTACTTTTTATAACAATAATGGCGGCTTCGATCGAAGGTTTTGTTGCCCTTTTAAAAGGTTAACATATTATAAAGCTAATTTTCTGTCGGCTATATCTTTAACGATGCGTCCGTTTGCTCTTTTTATAAGTTTCCAATACTATTCTCAATTTTTAATGGCTCTTCTAATTTGAATATACAGTTATTTTCACTAGATCTAGAGGACAGCTATCGGAAGCAGAGAAAGTCAATCCTAGATCTAAAATATTATAAAATCTAGAATCTAGGTCAAACCAAAATAAGTGAAAAATTAAAAATCATTATAAAACAAAACTAAATTATTGAGGTTTTTTTATTAAACTATGTTAGTCCTTAAATATTTGAGATACCTCTTTGCTGTTTAGCTTCAATGATCACCTAATTTGAAATACTTGGGATTTATCTATCCAGGTTCTAGATCTAGAGTTACGGCAAAAACTAGCCTTCGTAAATTCTACATCTAGATCTAGAATTAACGTAAATTCTACATCTAGAATATAGATCTAAAATATACTAAACTATTTCAGGCCTTAATTATTTTTTATAAATCTTTGTTTGTTTAGCTATGGAATTGGTTAATGTGGGATACAATTTAATTTGAAATAATACCAGGCACCAAAAAGTTGATGACTGCAAAGCGACTGGTAAAATGGGAGACTATTCGCGTAAATGAAGTTTCTTACGCAGATTATAAGTTAAATATAAGTAAATTCCTCCCAGATACTACTAGCTAGAATGCTAAAATGTTAGTGTATTAGGTTACCATGCGTGTGGCTCGTGTTCGAGACACATCGTGTCAATGTTAATTATTTTTGTTTTTTCAATTTCTTTTTTTTTAGATGTGAATGATTAAGTTGCTTATCGGACTTGGTGGGACACAGGGCAGGTGAAGTAGAGTGCACCAGTTTCAGTGTCCTCAGCATAATAATATAAAGGGATAGTGTTAAGAGACATGCTCGGCGGGACTCTTTTTTTAAACGATAAAAATATAAAAACATGTTGTCTGAGACTTGTCGGGACACTGGGCAGGTGACGTTAGCATATTTAGGGATAGTGTGGTCAGATCCATGCTCATTGAAAATCGTTTCTTTTAAAGACAAAAACGTCTGATGTGGGACGTCTTTTTGATTGTGTGGTCTGGTTATTTTGTGATGATATGTGACAGACGTAATGTTATTTATGGATGACCCCCGAAACCCTCAGTTATCTAATGACAACGGGTAGTCAAGTCACCTTTAAAAATGTACACAAATATAGATTTCACCTTTAAAAACGAGAGTATTTCTCTCAACTTGACACTGGTCTGCTGGACAAGATCCTTATACATAACGACCAGGAGAGGTCGCCTGTAGGTCTGCCAAAATTCATGGAATCGAACCCAGTACAGCTGGTGTTCAGTATAATACACTGGCCAGTCTGCAATGAAGCGAGCATGCATTTTTAATAAATCTTGACTCAAGTACTAAGTTTCAAAACATTCGGTCAATTAGAAGTGGTCAAAATTTCGCTCGCCAGTTTCAACCTGTAACTGACAAAAGCAAGACAAATGCCAAAAGAAGAATGTTAAATAAAAAAAGAAAACTGTAATAAAAACACACAATCATTTAATGACCCTTGTCTAGGGGTATGCTTAAAGTTGAATGGAACTGAGATAGACGCACTGTTATGGTTAGTGTCTTCCACCCAAGAGTCGAGAGTGCTAAAACTTGGCAGAAATTTTACCTACACTTTTCAATAGTATCTTTTGTAGCATTTAATTTTCTTCGTCCGCTGTATTTTCTGTTAAACTCGGCTTTGATGGCTTCGTAAGGTTGGCGGATAAGCAGCACAGCTTTTTCGTATCGTTTAAGTGTAGCGGCGTCACATTTGTGAGTTTTGACGAGAATTGTCGACGAATTAGCAACTCCTTCGCCAAGAAATCCAAGCATTCGTAGCTTTTTGCTGTTGTATTCACTTCCGGTAAAAATACCTTTTAGAGAGAGTGTGTGTTTGTTATAGTGAGAATGTGATTGAACAAGATGATAAGTGAATTATATATATATATATATATATATATATATATATATATATATATATATATATATATATATATATATATATTGGTGCTTGATTTATGTTCATTGCTGAAATAAGTTCTAAAACAGTTAATGACCAAATCACTTTATTTAGAGGTTAGACATATTTAAAAAAAACAATCGAATCCGGGTTCAAGTCAGTAGACCGTCCCTGACTCCACCCAACTCTGATGGGTACCTAACTCACGTTAGGGAAAGTAAAGGCGTCTGGGCATAGTGTTGACCACACTATCTCTTCATATGCCGAGGTCACAGAAAACAGTGAACTCTACTTCACTTGCTCTATAGACCGTCAGGTTTGAAAAGGGAACTTTACTTTTTTACTTATCTCCACTGGAGTCAGTTTTCGACAACTCATTTTTGTGAGTAGGCCAACAATTTATGCTTCTTCTACGTATGAGCTTTATGTTAAAGGGCTTTGATTTATTTCTGCGAATTAGTAATCTCAGGTTTTTAAGGGGATTTGTTTTACCTGTAGCCTCTTGAATAAGAAACCTGAGCCAGGTGTTTCCGGAGCCTGGGAAACTCACAAGTGCTGTTGCAGGAAAATTTCTCACTGAAAAACTCATGGGTCCACATGAATTCTGGTCTTTCTTAAAAAGTTCTAGAGGCGGTGATATAGATTCTTCCTGGGAAATAAATAATAATTTAGATCACAATGATAAAAGAACATTATTATCTTTTTTGCGCCGTCTTATAATTTGTACCGCGAACTAGTATATCATCCTCAAAATGTGGTATATTACAGATGTAGCTGTTAGCTAATTTAGAAGTTAAAAATTAATTTACATACATTTATATTGAAACAGACTATTGCTATTTGCTTTCATTTAAATTATTGAAGTTTCCATTTTTCTTTTTATTTCTTTTCTCTGAATTATGATATTTTAAAATGATTTCTTATTACCAATTTGTAGTATATTTTCAAAAGTCGTTTTGTAAATTGTTTTATTTGTTTTTGGTTTATTAAAATGTTGTGTGACATGTAATCTATTTTTAGACAAGCGTTCAATACTACCCTTAATTAATACACTTCTTTTAATGACTAGCTAGTAATTTAAAAGAAATACTGGTTTTATTATCGGTGAGGATCACATTTCAAACCTGTTAAGGCATGGTATATGCTTTATGCTAATCCGCATTTACCTTCACTAACATGAGTCAGGTAGTAGAGCGTAGGGCACTAGACTGTTAACCCGAAAGTCTAGTATTCGACTCAGTAGAACGTCCCTAGTTCGCCTTGCTCTGAGGGGTAACTAACTAAAGTTTGGTAAAGTTTGCTGGACATAATGCTGACCATACTATCCTTTTGTATGCCGAGGTCACAGAAACAGGACGCGTTTTATCTTTCACTGTCCCTTTAAATAACTTAACAATATTAGTTCAATAAGTCTGCAAAACCAGGTATCAGTCTATTTTTTAACCTTGTCAGTGTAGTTCAGTAATGCGGGTTAGAACAAACTTTCTAAATTAATTTGTTCTTCGACCCCTGGGGTGAGACCCTGGAGAATCCGCATCACAGACTTTACCTAGCTGTAACTTTATATAATAAATATCTTACTTAACTTATTTTAACAACGATAAAATAGATACTAAATTATAGGCCTATAGCAACTTACATGCATCACCTGGACAATGACAAATCCACCTAACACTGCGAAAACAACAACAGGTAACACGACCGTTTTCTTACACAGGATGCGCACACATCCAATATGTTTACAACATGGCTTCATTGGCTGTATTACCTACATCAAGAATTGATTCATTGTCAAAAACTTACTATTTATGTTATTGTATGTCTATAATGTTAAGATAAATTAGCTGACATAAAATAGCAGCGAATGAAAAAAAAAATATTTTACATTACCGAATGAAAAGAACAATAACTCTTGCATCGTACACTGCACATTTTACAAGAATGCTTATCCTTTTTAGTTTTTTATACTCGTCAAGAGACTAAATTAAAACACGCAAATGTCCATAACCACGTACAGATTTTTTGATCAAGTTAGATCATTCAGGTTTTTATGAAGGGCACAGGCGGTAACGGTATGATTATGTGTTGACAAATCAATAGAAATATCAATCCAAAACGAGACGAAACGCGATATCTTAAACCGCATGACACAATTGTGTAAACACAAAGTTTAAGATCGTCTTTCAACTACTCAACAAACTGCCGGACCACCAGGTATTTTACTTAAATTTGTGTCGGAATATTGCATTTTGGAATGGGGTTTTGGTAAATTGCTTGACATGGACCCCAACTTTCAAGCGCCTTATTAAGGTCGTTCCTCTAATCGCTTGATTATGACATCCAGTTTATTTTTTCGCAAGATTGCGATCCATTCTTCATATTCCATTTACTATAAAGTTAGAGGTGTAAAAAGGTGAAAACAGCAAAAAAAGGCGAATTATTCAGCAAACAGCACGTTTTCTATACGAAAACGTAATCACCAAAATTGTGTATTGAAGTATCAGCTTGTTTACATAACCAGGTCTTAAACAACTTATCTATTTCATTAACATTTAATCAATAAAACCAGCAAGCAAAATATATGTAACTAATTTTTAACCCACTCAACATACATATATTAAACTCTCTTTCTTTTATGATACAGCTTGCTATCGATAAATCAATAAATTGCATACATTAAACTCTAACGAATCAGTTCATGATAGAGCTATACGCTTACTATAGATACATCGACAAAAAAAATATCATAAGATGACATTAACCTAAAATTCTGGACAGATTTTTTGTTGTCGGGATCGTATGCAGTATTAAAGCAATAAATGTCTAGAGTTTGAAGAGGCTTTTGTCAAATGTGTCATGTGTGTTAAAAATACCAAGCTGATGAAGAACATCGGTCCAGGGATGTGTTTTACAATTTTTATTTACGAAGTTAGCTTAAGTTATCGTACAAATACATTTTATATATTTATTAGCCGGCCTGGCACTGTCTTCTGTGAGAAACCTATCAGTAAAAAACCCTGACATGTGCATAAACCCGGCTTAGCCCGGTTTTAGGAACTACAAACTTTTTCAATTAAATGTCTAAATGCAAATATGGACGTTTGAGAAAAAGATACATAACCCTTAATCCAACTCTAAACTTAACCCTAACTTCAACCATCAAAAAACCATAACCATAACTAGCTCTTTTACATTTTACAAAATAATTAAATATAATTTACACAGGACAATAATTGTCTAGTTATTCTTCCGAAGTCGTTAAAATTCATTTATCAATAGTGTTAATTATAATATGGCTGTCTTTTTGTTAACCGTTTAAACGCAAGAATCAATATTGCATTTTACATTAATGTAACCGCTAAACTTTGCTTGAGAAATAAATGCTACCGTAAATGTTCGTAATGGTAAATTTAATTAGAAAAAATATCAATATTACTCTGTAAATGTTCATAACAAAAGCAATTAGTAAGTACTGTAAAAAGTTGTATAGGATGGATTAATTAATATGTGTACACGTTTAATATGTTTAAAATCTATTCCGCAAAAAGTGACCGGTAACATGGCGTCAAGGTCTAAGCCCAAATTGACCGTCCAGACGGCCAACTTTGGTGCTGAGCGTAGCTCTCATGAAAGGAGTGTCATGGTCCAGATCCTCTCTGTTCTTGGCGTTGTCTGCAACGTCATCAGCTTGCTCAACTTCTAAAACCATGGGTACGGTGATAGCGTCAGCATCAAGCAATACAAATTTGACTTGAGTTACTTGACTTACTTGACTTACTTGACTTACTTGACTTACTTGACTTACTTGACTTACTTGACTTACTTGACTTACTAGACTTACTTGACTTACTTGACTTACTTGATTTACTTGACTTACTTGACTTACTTGACTTGCTTGGCTTACTTGTATTAATTGTATTACTTGATTTATTTCTTAGAGGCCGCTGATAAACATTGGGCTGCAACAGCACTGATATATCGCACTTGGATATTGGCGGCGGTGTTATTAAACAAAACAATAACTTGAATAATGTCATCACTTTACTCAGGTGCATGATGCATATGTTGTATTATTCAGACACAATGATAAATAAAGTAAATGATTATTAATATATGTACTTTTTATTTATTTTTTCTAACAAAAGAGTATGCAAGATACACTTTGGTGTTATTTACTATCAAAATTATAATTTCAAACAAGTGAAAATAAATACGAATCGTGAATACTTTGTATTGTTTCCTCTGGTTAATTGTATAGCATATATGAAAATGAATGAAATGCTTTTTATATTGATTGATATGTGCACAAGGCTTATCAATAGCTACCTGGGACATAACCTAAAAAGTTTTTTTCATTAGTGTGTATTTTATTTGTTGCCTAGATTTAGATTGCGACGATTGTAAAATTTTTTCATGAAATTGTGTTTAATTTTATTTTTTTGCCTAGGTTTCGATTGCTTCACTTGGTGGTGAAGAAATGTTGAAGACGTTAATAACATGCTGGAAAACGGCCTCAGCTGATTGGTTATTGTTTATCATGTGAGGCAGATGCAGTAGTGACGTCGGTCGCCGCGTCGCGTTACCGTTTGCGATGGCGCAGTTTAGTCGTTCCTCATGAATATGTACCTGTGAAAAATTTTAAGAAGAGTTGTTATGGGTGCAGGGACGGAGCTTGTAATATATCTATTTATTTATATCTATATCTATATTTATATAATTATATATATATGTACATATATAGATATATTTAGCGCTTCTGTCTGCGTTGTTTCATAATTGTTCCTAGGGTTTGCCTAACTCTGCGTAACGTTGTGCATTTCTGATATATGTCGTTGTATTTCGTGTATGTTCTGTTAACATATGTGACATGTTGTATAGAATCATGTGTTGTTATGAACTGGTAAAAGGGGAGACCCTGCGATTATTCCTCCGATTCAACGTGTACAAGAAAACTACAATCGCAGAAATGGCAGCTTACTACTAAGTATAAAATCCCCCCCCCCCCCCTCTACGAAGACTATACGGCAGGGAACGAGCACACAACCCACCAAGCCAAGCGAAGACCAAGACGTTATGCAGTTAAGGATTAATGAAGGACATTTATAAATAAAACGTGACAGACTACATCAACAAACTAGCAAAACCCGTGGAATGTTTAACTCATGCGACCGACTTGTACCATCGACGTAGGGGATATGAACTTATGGACCACGAGGCGACGAATACAAGACTGAAAGGGACACAATAAAGAAATGGACACACTCTAATCTAGTTTTAGTAGCACCCCTTGTTTCCTCTGCATATACAAAGCAATAAACGCAACACCACAAGCATTATAACAGTATAACCTTCAGAGGCGCACCAAGCCGTCATGCGACCTAAGTACTGCCACTTTCTTAATGACGAAAAAATATAATATAGGACAATGTAAGGAGCTACGTCCTGTCTATTATTTTGTTCTCAATTTTACAGTTAAGACACCCACGATTACTATTTGATTTTGTTGATGGATTAAAATATTAAGAACTAATCATATGTAATCTACTCGGTCTTTTTTCTATGCAGTATGTTCCCCAAAAGGGAAGCCAACAAGTAATTGCAAGCAGGAAGTCAGGCCTATCTCCCTTTATTTACACCTAAACCATTTTTGCGCCTAAGGTAATCTTCGTAAAAACTTTGACAACTAGAGCCTACTCTTCAGCTCGAAAAAAAAAATTGCACTTTCATATCCGCTTTGATTCTTTTAAAGTATCCACCTCACTACCCCCTCCCCTTCCCATTTTTACTAAGACGCAAGAAAAACAAACAAGCAAACCTGGAACCTAACATGACACCAGAGCTATCTTATTTATTTTAGTTTCTCTCCCTCCCCCCAACATTCTCTTATACAATGTATCACGTTTCTCTATATTTCCTGTGTTTCGACACACATTCTAATTATAAAATGATCTGATAGTAGCTGGTTTCTATAAATTATTTTCATCCTAAAGTCTTGGGCATATCGAGGTAAAATATGAACTACACTTTATCTTCCTATTTTATTTTAAACACCAAACTTAGCCATTAATTTTAAAAATAAATAAATTTTGAAAATAAATAAAGACATCACATCTAAAAACAATAAACACAAATATCGACATCACCTTTAAAAAGTTGTACACAAATATAGATTTCACCTTTAAAAATGTGAGTATTTCTCTCAACTTGACATTAGTCTGCTGTACAAGATCCTTATACATAACGACCAGCAGAGGTCGCCTGTACGCCTGCCAAACTTCATGGAATCGAACCCAGTACATCTGGTGTTTAGAATAATACTCTGGCCAGTCTGCAAAGAAGAGAGCATGAACATATTTTAACTATATATGGCTTCGTCACATTGCATTGTTTTTAAATCTTGACCCAGGTACTAAGTTTTAAGGAATCTGTTAGTTAGTTCTTGTTGAAATTTCGCTCGTTAGATTCAGTCTATAATTGACAAAAGCAAGACACAATCCAAATAAAAAACTAGTAATAAAAAACATTCATTCATTAACCCTAGTCTCGGGTTATGCTTAAAGTTGAATGCAACTGAGATAGAAGCTCCGTTAAGGGCGATCAAAGTGAAATAGATTTAACCAAGAGATAATCTAGAGACATAATTGTACCCAGATGACTCATCAGTAGCCACATCCCATGCAGGCTGTATGGAATTCATGTTTTCTGAAATATCTGAATCCGGTAGCGTCACAAAGTGGTTGGGATTGGGGTGGGGCAGCATAAAAAATAGAATAATGGTAGAAATAACTGTAAAAAACAATTGTATATCCAGTTAAACAGTAGGGGTTAGGTGGCGCAACTATCACGTTTTGACGCCAGTATAGCTCAACAAAAATCCTAAAAGTAACTCTAGTAGAATACTATCATCCATACAACTATACTTTGTACCGACCTACCAAATTTTAAAAGAAGCAAAATGAAATAAATAGTAATTTAAAACTCAATAGCATCAACGTTGAGTCTGGCTTAAAATATTGAACTTCAGCTAAAGAATTAAGAGTGCATAAACTTAGCTGTAATTTTACCTACACTTTTCAAGACTCTCGATTTTATCTTCTGATGTGTTTCCTCCGTTGCATTTTCTGTTAAACTCGGCTTTGATGGCTTCGTAAGGATGGCGGATAAGCAGCACAGCTTTTTCGTATCGTTTAAGTGTAGCGGCGTCACATTTGTGAGTTTTGACGAGAATTGTCGACGAATTAGCCACTCCTTCGCCAAGAAATCCATGCGTGCGTAGCTTTTTGTCGTTGTATTCACTTCCGGTAAAGATACCTTTCAGAGAGAGAGAGAGAGAGAGAAAGAGGGGGGGGGGTGATGTGTGAGAGAGTGCGAGAGTGAGAATGTGAGTGAGCAAGATGGTGTGTGAATATATATATATATATATATATATATATATATATATATATATATATGAATCGGTGCTTGATTTAAGTTCAATGTTGAAATGAGTTATAAAATCGTGTATACCCATATTACTTTATTTAATTGCTAGACACAATTTAAAAAAAAAATCTGCTGTTAGTCATTTTTTTAAAACTAGAAGAGCTATTTGAATAAATAGATTAAATTATCAGCCAAAATCAACAATGACGGTATCAGCTTTTTCCATGATGTCGTCGATGGATGGAAAAGTATTGCTGACGTAGGAGAAACGAATTACAACTGGCGTCCGAATAGAGTGCATGGGGGGTGGAATCGGCGTAATTTTTAAACGACAGCACTTACGCACTGATCTGTATAAATATTATAATTGTTGGCTGAGGGCTCTGACTATCAAGAGTTAATGTTTAGGGTTTAGAATGGTTGGTTGAGGGTTGTGACTATCAAGGTTTTAGAGGGGTTAGTTGAGGAAGCTGAGTTTCTCGATTTCAGAGCAGTGCTTCTTTCAGACATCTTTTTTTCTAAAGTGGAAGAGAACTTAAAAACTCTAGGATCAAATGGCCTAGTTTTGGGCCTCGACCCGCTGAAGCACTTGGCCCTACCATACGTTTAGTCTGGTAACAATTTATTTTCAAGAAATGTAAAGCAACGTTCTAATATTTATCGGTCTCTTAAACTAAAAAAAAAATTTGTGGGGGGAAGGGGATGCGTTTTACCTGTAGCCTCTTGAATAAGAAACCTGAGCCAGGTGTTTCCGGAGCCTGGGAAACTCACAAGTGTTGTTGCAGGAAAATCCCTCGCTGAAAGACTCACTGGTCCGCATGATTTCTGATCTTTCTTAGAAAGTTCTAGTGGCTGTGATATAGATTCTTCCTATGAGATATTTGTTAATTAAGATAATAAAAATAAAATAACATATTTATTCTGTTCTCGCCAATTTATCATTACCGCGAACTAGTATATCATCCAGAAATGTGGGATTTTACAGTGGTAGATTTTATTTAATTTAAAATTTTAAAAATTAAATTATATCCCTTCATATGGAACATACTATTTGTTTTTGCTTTCATTTTATTTCATTAGCTTTCAATTTTTATTTATCCGTATTTTAAAAATGATTTCTTGTTACTAATTTGTAGTATTTCATAACTCTTTTTGAAAATCTTCGTGTTTGTTATTTATTGTTACATTGTATGACGTGTAATTCATTTCTTAGACAAGCGTTTAAGTCTACCATTAAATAATAGGCCTACTCTTCTTTTAATGGCTAGCTGGTAATTTAAAAGAAATTCTGCTTTGATTATAGGTGAGGATAACCTTTCAGACCTGTGACGGCATGGCTTATGCACTATTGCAAGCCGAATTTACTTTTACTAACATAAGTCAATTAGTAGAGGATAACTTAGCAGAAGAGCGCTGGACTACAAACCCACAACTCTCGTGTTCAACTCCGGGTTAATGTCAATAGAATGACCCCTAGTATACCTTGCTCTGACGGGTACCTAACTAAAGTTTGTAAAAATAAAGGCAGCTGGACATAATGCTACCATACTATCCCTTTGTATGCCAAGTTCACAGAAACAGGACGCGTTTTATCTGTCGATGTCCCTTTAAATCGCTTAACAATTTTAGTTCAGTAAGTCTGCGAAACCAAGTAGCAGTCTATTTTCTTAACTTCGTTAATTTAGTTATGCAGGTCAGAACAAACTTTCTAATTTAATTTGGTCTTCAACCCCTGGGGTGAACCTCTTGGGAAGTCGCGACACAGTCCTTTCCGAGCTACGTACCTGAAGCTATAACGTTACGAAAAAAAAAATCTTACTTAAATTATTTTAACAACGATAAAATAAATACTTCTTCTTCTTCGTTTTTAATTTTAGTGTTGGATCCCCTCCAACACAGTTAAGTGTCAACTGGTTATGCACCATTGACTCCGATTTCAGCCTGCTTTTCTTTTTGGATTTTCTTCCATAGCCGCCTTTGTCCAACCATGAACAAACTTAAAGGCGGCAGTTGTTTGATTTTGGATTTGTTTCTACTAGAAGAATGACTGTCCCCAGCTAACGAGCCTCTTCTTCCCGAGAGTTCCAACTCGAGACTTTTTAGCAACCACACGCTTTACAGACTCAACTACGCCGACCCATAAACAGATACTAAGATATAGGTATTGTAACTTACATGCATCACCTGGACAAAGACAAGACCACCTAACACTGCGAAAACAACAACAGGTAAGGCGACCGTTTTCTTACACAGGATGCGTAAACATCCAATATGTTTGAAGCATGTCTTCTTTAGCTGTTTTACCTACATCAAAAATTGCTTATTTGTCAAAAACTAATGCTCTAAAATATGTATATCTTTTACTTTTAATTGCATACATGATTTAGGTAATTGTATGTTTATAATTTTAAGAAAAATTAGACCGACATAAGACTGGAAAATAATTTTACATCGTCGAATAAAAATAACAATAACTCTTGCATCTTACACTGAACATTTTACGAGAATGCTTATTCTTTCTTGTTATTCATACTCGCCAAGAGGCTAAATTAAAACACGCAAATGTCCATAACCACGTACAGATTTTTTGATCAAGTTAGGGCTACTAGTTTTTATAAGGGGCAAGAGCGGTAAAAGGTGTGATTATCTGTTGACAAATCAATTGATATATCAATCCAAAACGGGGTGAAACGCGAACTTTGTGAACCGAACGACACGATTTTGTAAACTCTATGTTTGAGACCGCCATTCGTCCACTAATCAAACTGCCTGACCCCCAGGTATTTTACTTAGTTCTGTGGAACATTGCATTTTGGAATGGGGTTTAGCTAATTTGCTTGACCTGCACTCCCATTTTTCTGTCATACTTAAGTAGATTATCCGTTTATTATTCTTTATATTCCGTTTACCATAATATTGGGGGGTGTAAAAGGAGCAAACTGTTTAAATACATCTTATTTATTCAGCAAACAGCACTTTCGGTATAAGAAAACGTAAAAACCAAAATTTTGTATTGAAGTATCAGCTTATTTACATAACCAGGTCTTTAAACAACTTATCCATTTCATTAACATTTAACCAATAAAACCAGCCAGCAAAATTAATATACCTAATTTTTAACCCACTCAATATAAATAATTTAAACTCTAACTCTTTTTTATGATACAGCTTGCTATCGATAAATAAATAAAATGCGTACTTTAAACTATAACTAATAAGTTCATGATACAGCTTTATGATTACTATAGATACATAAAAAATATTTAGGGATGACATTAACCTATAATTCTGGAAAAATCTTTTTTGATGACGGGACCTTACACTTAATTAAAGCAATAAATGACTAGAGTTTTATGAGGCTTTCGTCAAATGAGAAATAGGTGTTGACCAACAGTGTGAAAGGTCACTTACACACCGAGCTGTTAAAGAAAACGAGCCGACCCGCGGCATATCATACGCCGCTATTTAGTTGTTGTTTTTTTTACTTTTCAGTTATTCATAATTTGTGAATTCGACACTACCAACGCTGCCACTGAAAATATTTCTTTAAAACATTATAAGTAGCTCGTTAAGTGCGATAACCCCCCCCCCTCCTTAACCCCCCCCCTTTCCGTTAAAGTAAACTCCACTTAGTTACCCCCCCCCCCCCCACTAAGTTTAAAATAATTTCAAACTAAATTATCTGCCCCTAATAGTCGTCACTAAACCCGGATCTGTAAACATTTAGAGTGAACCACAGCTCACCAAACCATGTAGGGGTGGGGATGGTAGGGAGCGCGTTTGCAGCTTGTTTTCTAGCGTCTCCCAGAAGAGAATTATATATATAGATGGGTCAGGGATTTTTTTCATTTACGAAGTTAGATTAAGTTAACAAATACATACAAGTACAAATACATCAAATATATAAAGTTCAATTCTGTATGTTTGTTTGTAAAATGCTTGTAAAATTTTGTCGTGGATACTTGGATGGATTTAAGTGTTAGATTATTATAGTGCTCATGGTCTAAATTTATGAGTTAAAAAATTACTATTGAAAGTCTTTAAAAACAATTTTCATTTCATATACTTAGAATAATAATTTTCAATTATAAACATTACATAAAATTACAAAAAAATGTATCAACGTTTATAAAATTTCTAAAATTGTGTCTGAAAAGTATTTGCATTTTGTCCTTTAGTTCTCATAACGTCCCTTGATTTGGAAAACACAGTTACTTCCCTTTAAAAAACCATTAAATCAGGGGGAGAAAGAATTTACTTTTTATTACTTTGTTTTGGTGTTAGGAAAACAAATAACATAATTAGCGGGGATTGATTAAGTGCCATGTTGTAGGTATTTTTAATACTGCCTTTTATTTTTTCAATACGCTGAACTTACTGTTTACTAATTATTTTTTTTAAATCAATAACACTTAATAAGCCAGGTCCCACATGTCCTTTATGTTTATTTCTTTCCGTTTACGGATAAGCTTGGAGTATTATAATTCTTCATTAATTTGAAACAGGCGCGTCCGCCGGCACCCAACCAGGGTTCAATTTGGCGCCCTTGGTTATCCTGGGAGCGCTATAGTGCATAATTTTGCTTTAAACAGTGCGATAGAGTATGGATAAAAAGGTTATTATAGTCTTTAAGTGAATCGAATCCGGGAGTCCTCAGGCGCCCAGACCGGGTGCTATTTGGGGCCCTGGGCATTCCCGTTTTCGATTTGGCGCCTATGTTCGTTTAAGTGAGTGCAAAAGACTATAAATAAGTTGGGGTGTTATAGTCGTTTATTAAGCTGAAACAGGCGATTCCGCCGGCGCCCCACCATGGTACGATTTTAGGTTTGCGTTAGTGGTTGGGTTTGCGTTTTGATTTGGTTCGTTTTCGTTCTTTCTTTTTCGTTTTCGTATGTGTTTTTAATTTGTGTTTGTATTTGGGTTTGTGGTTTGTTTTGTGTTTTCGTTTGTGTTGGTGGTTGGGTTTGGGTTTGTGTTATCGTTTGTATTAGTGTTTGCGTTTATGTTATGTTTCCTTTCTTTAGTTTTGTTTTGGTTTTGGTTGGTTGTGGTTGGGGTGGGCAATGCCGGGTATGTTCCGATTATTAAACACACATGTCATGTTTCTTTACAGATAGGTTTCAGAAAGCTCTTTTATAGATACCGGCACCAAACTAAAAAAAGATATACAATTTTAATATAGACGTCCCGGTTTGTGTTGTGTTTGTGTTGTATTGTGTTTTTGTTTGTGTTGTGTTTTGTTTGCGTTGTATTTTGTTTGTGTTATGTTCGCGGTTCTTTTTTTTTGTGTTTTGGTTTTGGTTGGTTGTGGTTAGGGTGGGCAATGCCGGGTATATGCTGATTACAACAACACACATGTCAAGGTCTTTACTGATAGGTTTTTCACAGAGGCCAGAGCAGGTCCTGGCCAGGACGGCTAGTAATATATATATTTACTAGCCGGTCCTGCACTGGCCTCTGATTAAAAACAGCATAAACCCGGCAATGCTGGGTTTAGAAAATAAACATTTTTTAATTAAAAGTCGGTATGCAAAGATGGACGTTTAAGAAAATCTTATATAACTCTTATACTAACTCTAAACTTAACCCTAAACTCAACCATCAAAAACCAAAACCAAACCAAATCAAAAACCTAAACCTAAACCTAAACCTAAACCTAAACCTAAACCTAAACCTAAACCTAAACCTAAACCTAAACCTAAACCTAAACCTAAACCTAAACCTAAACCTAAACCTAAACCTAAACCTAAACCTAAACCTAAACCTAAACCTAAACCTAAACCTAAACCTAAACCTAAACCTAAACCTAAACCTAAACCTAAACCTAAACCTAAACCTAAACCTAAACCTAAACCTAAACCTAAACCTAAACCTAAACCTAAACCTAAACCTAAACCTAAACCTAAACCTAAACCTAAACCTAAACCTAAACCTAAACCTAAACCTAAACCTAAACCTAAACCTAAACCTAAACCTAAACCTAAACCTAAACCTAAACCTAAACCTAAACCTAAACCTAAACCTAAACCTAAACCTAAACCTAAACCTAAACCTAAACCTAAACCTAAACCTAAACCTAAACCTAAACCTAAACCTAAACCTAAACCTAAACCTAAACCTAAACCTAAACCTAAACCTAAACCTAAACCTAAACCTAAACCTAAACCTAAACCTAAACCTAAACCTAAACCTAAACCTAAACCTAAACCTAAACCTAAACCTAAACCTAAACCTAAACCTAAACCTAAACCCAAACCCAAACCCAAACCCAAACCCAAACCTAAACCTACACCTACACCTACACCTAAACCTAAACCTAAACCTAAACCTAAACCTAAACCTAAAACTAAACCAAAAATCTAAACCTAAACCATAATAAACACAAACGGATACGCAAACGCAAAAACAAACGCAAACACAAACACAAACGCAAACACATAAATAAACTCAAATGCAAATGCTAACATAATCGCAAACAAAAACAAAACACAAAAATAAACATAAACATAAATCCTAAACCTCACCACAACCTCATTTTAAATATAGTGTATGACATTTTTCTTGACAATACCTTATTCTTTTAATATTTAACATTTTTCCAAAAAAAAAACTATTCTGTTTCTGCGTCATTAATCTATGTCATTTTTTTCGTTCTAGTTGTGATGATCATAACTAGCTTTTAGTTACAAATTTAACAAGATGGCTGGGATAATTACATATAATTTACACAAGTCAGTAATTCTCTTGTTATTCTTTCGTAGTCGTTAAAATTCGTTTATCTATAGTGTCAGTTATAATATAGCTGTCTTTTTGTTAAACGTTTAAACGCAGTAATCGATATTGCATATTAAAGTAATGTAACCGCTAAACTTTGCATGAGAAACAAATGTTCGTATTGTTAAAATTTAATGGAAAAAAAATTCCAATCTGTAAATGTTCATAACAAAAGCAAGTGCTATAAAAGTTTTGTAGAATGGATTTATTAATACGTGTACACGTTTTGAATGTTTAACAATTTTTCTGCAAGATGTGACCGGTAACATGGCGTCAAGGTCTACGCCCACACCGACCGTCTAGACCAACATGGTGATGAGCGCGGCTCTTGTGGATGGTGTACTGACCCTCAACTTGATTGTCCTGGTCTAGATCCTCACCGTCTTTGATGAACAAGAATGATGTCAACACTTAACAAAGCCGCCTATGTTGTATTTTCAGACTTAGTAATATGGGAAGTAAATCTGTATTTATATATGTACTTTTCATGTACTTTCTATAACAAATGAGTTTGCAAAATACAGTTTGCTGCTATTTATCGACACTTTAATTTCATACAAGTGCAAATAAATAAAGATCATAAATACTTTGTACGAGCCGAACCGCGGCGTATCATACGCCGCTATTTAGTTGTTTTATTTTCTACTTTTCAGTAATTCATAATTTGTAATTCGACAGTACCAATGCTGCCACTGAAAATATTTGCTTTAAAACACTAAACCCCCCTTACCCTAACCCCGACATTACACCCCCCCCCACCCCCCGTGAAAGCAGCCTCCTCTTAGTTATTTCTTAGTTACCTCCTGTAAGTTTAAAATCGAACTAAATTATCTGCCCCTAATAGAAACTTGGCTCTACGGCTCTACGATTTGTAAACATTTAGCTTTGTAAACATTTAGCGTGACCACATCTCACCAGACAATGTGGGGGTGGGGTGGGGGTGGTAGTGATAGTGATAGAGAGAAAGAGAAAGAGATGGGACTGCAAGGAGGCGCTTGCAGCTTGTTTTCTAACGGCTCCCAGAAGAGAATTATATATATAAATTGTTTCCTCTGTTTAATTGTTTAGCACATATAATGAGAATGAATGAAATACTTTTTATTTTGACTGATATGAGCACAAGCCTTATCAATAGCTACTCTGGACGTAGCCTAAAATGAAATATGTTTTAATGGTGTGTGTTTTTGATTTGTTGCTTAGATTTAGCTTGCGGCACTTCGTCGTGAAGAAATGTTGTAGATGTTCTTAACGTGATGAAAAACCGCTTCAGCTGATTGGTTGTTTTTTGTCACGTGAGGCAGATACAGTGGTGACGTCCGTCGCCGCGTCACATTACCGTTTGCGATGGCGCAGTTTAGTCGTTCCTCGTTTATGTCAACCTGTGAACAATTGTTAACACGAGGCGTTCAGGGTTCAGGGACGGAATTACAATACAGCCAGGACTAGCAATACATATAATATGTACATTTATATTTATACATTTACACTTGTTTTTTGCGAGGGGGGGGGGGGGGCTTTATTTCTAGTTCCGAAACTGTACAGGTTGCCGATAAAGGGTGTCATACTCCAAGGATGAAATTGGGGGTGGGGGGGGGGAGTATTTTGAGTGGATGTGTAACGATGGAGAATGAGGGTCTATGGGTTCAAAAACTGTGTCGACATACCTTTTAATTTTAAAAATTAATTGTAAACGAGTTTCAGTCGTTATTTCGGATTTTAAAGATGGTTTTTAGAAATTAAACTAAAACTCATAAATCTACTTTTAAAAGAAAAACTAAACCTGCTGTTACGAATGGGAATGTAGGCTAAATTCGCTGTCATTTTAGGGGAGGAGGTCTGAATTTTTGAGACGCTGTATGCAAAGGGAGTTAGAAACCTTTTAAAGTAGCGTTATTTAATTTATGGATTACCAAACATAGTTCTATCATGCTCATTACTGGAAGGATAAATATAGCTTTTTTTTTTAAATTAGAGTTTTTCTAAAATATTGGATGATAAGATAAAACGGTGAAAGCAGTGGTTGTTTCAAAAACTTGAATACAAAACATAAACATCACCTTTAAAAATGTGAGTATTTCTCTCAACTTGACACTGGTCTGCTGGACAAGATCCTCATACAAAACCACCATGAGACGTCTCCTGTAGGCGTGACAAAATTCATGGAATCGAACCCAGTACCTCTGGTTTTCAATATAGTACTCAGGCCAGTCTGAAAGGAACCACAAAAAGATTGTCTAGATTTTCACTATATATTGGATGGCTGTATTAGGATGATAGAGAATTATGATGGAAAAGGATAATGATGGTAGAACATACGTATGGTAGAACATACGGATGGTAGAGTAAACGGATGGTAGAGTAAACGGATGGTAGAATAAGGATGGTAGAACATATGTATGGTAGTGCATACGGATGGTAGAATAAACGGGATGATAGAGCAGAGGACTGCTAACCGAATTTCTTACTGGCTTTTTTAATGAACGCAAACAATAGGCGTATAATAGAGCTGAAAATTAGCCCTTTATATAGCTAACATTATTTAATTCTTTAAAAATTTATTAAGCCTTAAAATGAAGTTGAATTTGATGCCGCGCTACATTTGTATCAAATCTTGACCAGAGTGTTATTTAAGTTTCAAAGGAATCGGTCACTTAAAAAATAGTCGAAATTTCGCTCGACAGTTTCGATCTATAAAGACAAATAAAAGACAAAAGCCGTATTCGTTATGTGAATTTAGTCTTGGGTCATGTTTAATGTTGGGTGGCATTGAGATAGTGACACCATTATGCGCGTTTAGCTAAGTAGATTTAACCAAAATATAGTATACAGAGATATTCGGACTTAGAAGATTCATCAATTGCAACACGGCATGCAGATTGTATTGAAGTTGTGTATTCTGTATTATCACTATCAAGAACCGTCACACAGCGGTTGAGTTGATGAGAAGGGACCACACACACATAAAAAGATAAAGTAGAAATTACTTTCAAATACAACTTTTTATTTTATATGCAGTTAGAGCGGAGTGGTCTAGCGGTAGAGAGCTCTACTGCTAACCCGTAAGTCTCGCGTTCGAATCCGGGTTCAAGTCAGTAGAACGTCACAGAAACAAGTGAGCTCTTCTTTACTTGCCCCATAGACCGTCAGTTTTGAAAGCGAAACTTTACTATTTTTACTAGAACAGTAAAATATTGAGGGGAGGGGTGACACTTAAAATTTGCCATTTGTACGAATGGATCATGGAAAACACCACAAGTTACCGATCCGGAGACAGCCGACCTAGTGACGCCACTCTCGCTCTCTAAGGCCTATCAATTAGGATTTATACCATTAATCCTCATCGTAACTCTCGTGGCTTACTATCATCCATATTGACATAAGAACCCACTATACTTTGTACTGTCCTACAACATTTTACGTGAAACGAAAACTAAGATATAGTAATTGAAAATTGAATATCTTGAACGCCGAGCCTGATTGAAAATGTTGAACTTACACCAAGGAGACAAAAAAGCTAAAACTTAGCTGTTATTTTCAGTGTTTCTTCCAGACTTTTTTCTCCGGGGGGTGGGGGGGGCGCACTTTAAATTTTCTGGGGGGGGGGGGGCGGTACACTTTCTTTGGGGTGGGGGGCGGACACTGTTAAAAGTATATACTTTCTATATAAATTTCATTTCGTTCCGGGAGGGGGGGGGGGGTTAGAGATGCCTGGAAGAAACTCTGGTCATTTTACCTACATTGTTCAAGAGCATCCAGTTCAGCGATTGATTTGTTTATGGTGCTGTGCTTTCTGTTGAACTCGGCTTTGATGGCTTCGTAAGGGTGACGGATAAGCAGCAGAGATCTTTCGTATCGTGTAAGAGTATCAGGTAGGCATTTGTGAGTTTTGACGAGAATTGTCGTTGAATTAGCCACCCTTTCGCCAAGAAATCCAAAGGGGCGTAGCTGTCTGTCGCTGTATTCGCTTCCGGCAAAGATGCCTTTTAGAGAGAAAGAGAGTGAGCAAGTGAGAGATAGTAAGTAAAAGAGATATGTTGGTGCTTGATTGAAGCTTAATGCTAAAATGACTTCTGAAATAATTTATGCCCATATCTTTCTGACCAAACTCACGATTTTAACAAATCTGCTGTTTATTTGATTCATGAAACTTTTATAATAAAATGTTCAACTATCGCATAAAGTCAATATTGACGAGACTCCTTGACTCTGGCGATGTCGTTGATAGTTGGAGGTGGTTGGCTGACTTAGGAAAATCGAATCCATCCCCCCCACCTCCCACAGTCGTATAAAATAAAAGAGGGAAACAGGCGCAATGTTTCTAGAAATTCAGCACTTATCTGACTAGAATTTTGAGTGGGTGGTTGACTGTATTTGTTATCTAGGGTTTAGAGTGGTTCTTTGAGGGTTCTAACAATATAGAATTTAGAGCAGCCACTACTTCTTTCAGATATCTTTCTCTTTGAGGGGCCAGGAGTGGGTGGGGGGTGGAACTTTAATAAGAACGCGCACTTTAATTAACAGGGGCGTGGGTGACTAAAGTGTATATTTTATATTTAATCTATATCGTTTTCTATTTCTTCTTGGGGGTGGGGGTAAGAGTAGGCCAGGAGAACCTAGCCTACGACAGATCTCCTCAAGATAAAAGTAGTGCCCTCTCAGCGATCAGGCCAGCGTATCAAAACAATGCCACCAACCATATCCGGAATACTAAATCAAAGCAGGACACGATTACGCCTCTATCTTCTAAGATTGGTTGTCTCAATCGGCCTAGTTGGGGATGCGTAAGCTACCCGTTGTAACGTCTGGCCTAGTCAGGTACAGAATGAGTTCAGGAAGATGGAAAGCATGTGTTCTACTATTTATATTCATATCTTTAATAACTAAAATACGACAAATGAAATAGTAAGCAAAGTCGCCTACATGGTCAAGAACGGGAGGCCTTATAAGTAATTAGTGAATCTATTTGAGTTGACTTATTTCTTTGAGAATGGGAATTCGTTTTTCGGCAAATCTTTTCACTTTAATCTGCTAAGGCCCAGTAGCCTTTTCTTCTCCTACGTGTATGCATTTTATTAAAGGGCTTTGATTTTATTGTGCGAATTAGAAATTTCAGGTTCTAAGCAGAGGAGGGAGGGGGGTGTTGCGTTTACCTGTCGCCTCTTGAACGAGAAACCTCAGCCAGGTGTTTCCAGAGCAGGTAGATTTCTCGCTGATAATCGCACAGGTCCGCATGACCTCTCATCTTTCTTAGAAAGTTCTAGATTCGAGTTTGTGAAAACATCCTAGACTTCTTCTTCTTCTTCTTCTTCGTTCTTAATTATTAGTGCTGAAGGGGATCGAGATTTATCTGCCAGTGGGTTTGAACTCGAGACTTTGTTCGAATTTATCAACCATGAGCTTTTTGCCGACTCGACCACGCCTCCAACACAATTAAGCGTTACGTGTCAACTGGTTATGCGCCATTGAGGCCATTGACTCCGATTTCAGCCTGCTTTTCTTTTTGGATTTGCTTCCATAGCCTTTGTCCAACCAAGAACAAACTACAAGGCAGCAGTTGTTTAATTTTGGAGTTGTCTCTCCTAGAAGAGTGGCTGTCCCCAGCTAACGAGCCTCATCTGCCCGAGGGTTCGAACTCGAGACGATATTGTCGAAGATTTAGAAAATATAGAAGATAATCTATATATATAAAGCAAAATGCTCGGGTGCCCAACAGGGCAATTACCCTTCACGGCGCCGCTTTTACGTTTACGTTTTCTTTACGTTTACGTTTACGTTTACGTTTACGTTTACGTTTACGTTTACGTTTACGTTTACGTTTACGTTTACGTTTACGTTTACGTTTACGTTTACGTTTACGTTTACGTTTACGTTTACGTTTACGTTTACGTTTACGTTTACGTTTACGTTTACGTTTACGTTTACGTTTACGTTTACGTTTACGTTTACGTTTACGTTTACGTTTACGTTTACGTTTACGTTTACGTTTACGTTTACGTTTACGTTTACGTTTACGTTTACGTTTACGTTTACGTTTACGTTTACGTTTACGTTTACGTTTACGTTTACGTTTACGTTTACGTTTACGTTGACGTTGACGTTGACGTTGACGTTGACGTTGACGTTGACGTTGACGTTGACGTTGACGTTGACGTTGACGTTGACGTTGACGTTGACGTTGACGTTGACGTTGACGTTGACGTTGACGTTGACGTTGACGTTGACGTTGACGTTGACGTTTAGTAATATGTTTCAATACATCTACAGTATATTAGTATTATTTATGCATATTTTATGTAAAGATACAAATACTTCTTTTTAGAATTAATATTTCGGAATTAAATACACCATACAATTATAAACACTTGTAACTAGAAACACTAAAAAGAATTTTAATTATAATAGCAATTTAAAAAAGATGATAATCACAGCGATAAACAAAACAATTACGATACCCAGTTATACATTTCTCAATAACAATAAAACTAAATTATACTTATGAGAACTTACGTGAATCAACTCGACAACGACAATACCAATTAACGCTGCAGTTATGAAAACGAGTAAGACGACAGATTTCTTATATGGGACGTATTTACTTGAAGTATTTCTACATAGTTTCAGCGGCTGTATTACCTACATCGAGAATAGCTAAATTGTCAAAAACCTATCGTATTAAAAAAGTAATTTTTATATATTTTTATATAACTTTTAATAAAATTACACACATTATTTCTGTAATTGTATGCCTATACAGTTTCAAGAAGTAATATTTGGTCATAAAATAGCACTGTCGAATTCACAAATTATGAATTACTGCGTCGGCTCGTATATTTTAATCTGTCTGGTCATTGTAGTTGGGAAGGGGAGTAATCCATGATAGTATCAAAGGTGCCAGATACATTATATTCCTCATCAATATCATCTTCGGGCAGTTTAGCTAATTTTCTTGATCTTGACCCCATTTTTTATATCGTCATACTTAAGTATTTTATCTCTTTCACTTGACTCTGGTAGCTTTTTTAACCTTTCGCAAGATTACAATACGTTCTTAATATTCCATATACGGTAAAGTAGGGAGGTGTAAAAAGGTGAAGACTGTCAAAATACATCTGTTTATTTAGCACCATTACAATACTTCATCTATACTCTGTTTACGAGAAAGTAAACATCTAAATTTCGTATAAAAGTATAAGCTTGTTTAGAAGATCAGGTCATTAAACAACTTATCGATTTCATCAACATTTAATTCATGAAACCGGCAGGCAATACTAATGTAACCAATTTTTAACCCACCCAACATACATATGTTAAATTCCCACGGCTTATTTCATAATACAGATTGTTATCTATAAATCAATAAAAAAATATCAATAAATGACAAAACCCTTCGTTTTGGACGGACATTTGCGTTTTTTTTTTTTTTTTTTTTTTTTTTTTTTTTTTTTTTTTTTTTTTTTTTTTTTTTTTTTTTTTTTTGACGAGAGCTTAGACTTAGATTGAACAATAAATGTCTAAAGTGTAGCGAGGCTTTTGTCAAAGGTATTAAGTGAGATGGTTAACGGTGTGAAAGCTGACTTACACCGAGATGCATGAGAAAGGGGCGAGTTTTTTTATGTTTTGTTTTACTTCCTCATACACCAAGTATAGAGCGAGTTTTGTAGCTGTGCGTATAATCTAAATCGATATCTCGAAGTTTTACACATTCCTTTGTGTTTGTGTGCTTGTGAGTACATACTACGAGTACTGTTTCAGTAATGTTAACGAAATTTCATAAAACATTTTTATTTTACATAACGATATTTTTTCTTCGTTTTCCAAAAACTTAAATTTGAATACCGTTTAATTAGACGAAATTACTAAAGAGTAAACACTATAACTAGGCTTTAGAAGTGTTTCATAATTAATTAGAGATTTGTCCTCTACTTAGCAAAATGAAAAATCAGATGCATACAGCAAGTTAATTTCAAATGTAAAATTATATTTTTTTAAAACTATGAAGGCCTATTTGTAAAAAGTTTAAATTATGAAAACACTATTAAAATGAAATTTTAAAATATATTTAACACTAGCATGCTCGTCCCCGCGCGTTGCCGCGGGGTTTGAAAAAATTCTGACATAATATTTTAAGAGGGTTTTACCAACGAATATAATAGTACCTCTTACCCGCTATGCAGGACGCCCAATTAACGGATACCAAATGCTAAGACAGCCGCTCTTGAATTTCGGGCGCTAAGACGTGTATTGACAAAAATCGCACCTTCCCGGGCGCCGCCCACATTAAATTTTAATATCTTTTTCGAAGAAGCCTTATCAAGAGTATGCTCATCAACTCCTTATGGCTTCATGGCACTCGGATGAACGGTGTCAAACCGCATCCGACTTTAATTTTTATAAACTGTACTAAGAGGAAAATAGCACCCTCCCCTGGCGCCGCCCTTACGATATTATGAAAGACTTTTTATGCAGAAACCTACCTTGGAGTATTCTTATCAAAGTCCCAAAGTTTTATGGCGATAAAATGAAAGCATAAAGGATAAATAGACAAACAAACATACAAACCCACAAAAACAACATACTTTGATTTTTATGCATACATATGTGTGTTAAGACAAAATAACATGTCGCTTTTCAACTATCACTTGGATGGTTACAAACGTCAATAATTGTCTTGTTATTTCTCCGCAGTTTCGTTGATCAATACTGTTAATTACTATATGGTTGTCTTGTTGGTAATCTTTTAAACGCAACAATCGATATTGCTTATTACAGTAATGTAACTGTTAACGGTTGCTTCAGAGGAACATGCGACGGTAAATGTTCACAACAAAAAAAAATCGTGAAAAAGCTTTACTCGGTAAATTTTAACACCAAAGCGTTTTGTAGGAGGGATTTCGTGACACGTGTTTACGTTTTATACAGAGGCGTAGCGAGGGGGGGGGGGGCGGGGGGGGGGGACATACGTCCCCGGGCGCCGACCTTAGGGGGGGGCGCCAAATTGAAAGTTTGAAGGGGGGGTGCAAATGAAAAGTTCGAGGGGGGGGGTGCAAATCGAAAGTTTGTCCCCGGGGGCCGGGAAGGGTCGCTACGCCTCTGGTTTTATATGTTTAAATTTTACGAGCTGACCCGCGCCGTAAGCATATGCAGCTATTTAGTTGTTTTATTTGCTACTTTTCAGTAATTCATAATGTGTGAATTCGACACTACCCTCTCTTCCCCCCTTCTCTCTTCTTCACATCGTGGAGGTTACTTTTCTAACACATGGTTTCTATACAAAGTTCTAGCCCGTCGCTTGAGACACCAGTGACTGGCTTCAATACCATCACTCACTTCAATAAACAAACTTTTTTTTTTCCTTACACTTGTAATTTACATTGTTAGTTTACCTTGCCATGTTCGCTTTCAGTGGCGTAGGCAGGGGGGGGGTTAGGGGGGTCATAACCCCCCCATAGACCCCTCGGTATATAGAAAAAGTATGAGGGGGGGTGCAAATCGAAAGTTTGAGGGGGGGGGGGTGCAAATCGAAAGTTTGTCCCCGGGTAAAAATTGGACCCCCCCCCCCCTTGAGACGATCCTGGCTACGCCACTGTTCGCTTTAGTATTACAGATTACATCATCGGCTTATGTTGACTGACTACAGATTTACTTTCATTCATTTAAGATGGTTTATGTATTATACATAATACATAATACAAAACGTCTAATTACAATTTTATATCAATAAACAAAATTATTTTAAAACTGTTATTTGAAAATTAAAACAAGTATATCAACATACTTTACATACTTTCAATCATCTAATGATTTTATTTTTATTTTTTACAAATGTAAGTATAAAAATATATTGAAGATAGATTTACAAGTTTATACATATAAAAAATAAATATACATACATTTATATTCAATGTGAATACAGGGAAGTAATAAATAGTAGTATGATGCTAGTGAAAACTTTAAATTTGAGTGAGAGGAGGGAGTCATGAGGAATCCACTTCAGTTTTTTTTATTTCAGATTTTTCTCTCCTAAATGCGTTGCTGTGCTCAGTCAAAAGAGCCTCCTGAATCGGTTAACAGCCTTGCAATTTCCAGCACACCCACGTCAACTAACAGATTACAAAAAGATATTTTTTTAACAATATAAATTTTTCGTCCAAACCAGGTCTTTTCCGGTTAACACCCTTGCAATTTCCATCACG